AAAAAAAAAAAAAAAAAGAAACCCACAGATTAAAGTCTGTAACCATTGTCTCTCATTAGAAGTCAATTGTCTGATTTAAGTGAAATATATTTTTCCAGTCTAGCTCATACGTCTGAGTAAGTCCTCCAGAGTCCTCAATGTGCTTATTAGGGTTGTCTAAAAACTTTCCTGGATCTCATTTGATCTGCTTTAGGTCCCTAAGAGAAAGGGACTCGTGAACAAAGGAAGTCCCGTATTGCCGTTTATTTCCTGTAAGGGATATTGTCCTTGAGCTTGAACAAAATTAGCTAAGGATGGATATAGCCCTAGAGGCTATGACTACATCTTGCCTAGAAGCCCCACCCTCAGCACCCGAAGGACAAATAGAGAAAGCCTAGATTCACTAATAGTGGGCAAGGCTTTGATTAAAGTAGCCTTGGAAACTTCGTACTCTGATTCCAAAGGCTGAAGAAGAGTAGCCTCAGGTTCAGTGATAGTGGATGCCATAAGGGCCAGAGGCGGCTGCTTTTCTTGCTGCTTACATTTCCATTCCTTCTTTTTGGTGGAACTGGGGATTGAACTCAGGTCCTTGCGCTTGCCAGGCAGGCTCTGGTGCCACTGAGCTAAATCTCTGACCTGCTTACATTTATATTTCAAACACAAGTAAGGATTATTTCTTTCTTTTCTTCCTTTTTTTGGGGCCAGAGATCGAACTTGGGTTCTTGCGTTAGGGAGGCAGGTGGAAGAACCACTGAGCTAAATCCCTGGCCTGGGATTATTTCTTAATGCAAAGAAAGTCTGAACATAAGGTAATTCTGCCCATCTTCCCTCTTTTTTACAGTACAATCCTAGATGTAAAATAGCATCATAACTAACACTTTCCTCTACATTCCATTTTGTCTCAAGAATCTTGGCAACTCCATGCCCTTTTCCTTCATTTAGTCTCTGGCCCAGTTACCCCTGCATTTTTTTATCACCTACTCAGACCTTTTTTCTCTTCTAATGTTGGTACATTTTAGAGGAGTAAGAGCTTTTGATACTGTTTCCCATAAATGCAAGAGGAAAAAAAAATTGGCATCCCTTATAATTTCTACTTGATTCCTGTGTCCTCAAGATATCCCCAGGGTGACTGTACTCCAGAGCAGGTGGCCATCCTCTGGAGAGAAACTAGAGGATAGGCTAGGTCAGACTAGCCACCCCTTTCCAGCTCGCAACCCTGTGTTTCCCCAGGAAACTCATAGTCCTAATTCTAGCACATGTTAAAAGCACAAAGCTACAGTCAATTCCAGCTATAATGATCACATTTAAAGAAAACATTGCTCTCATTTCAAGAGAGCTAAACTGTTGTTTTCTAATTCTTTGAAAGAGAGTAGAAAATATCAAAGAGCAAGTTGGAAATAGTTCAAGCACTTGTGAGCCTGTAAAAGAGATCATCTGTAGAGACAGAGTCAGGTAAAATGTCTTGGAGAAATCTTGCCCTGGGCCTTAGGGTAGAGAAGCCTCTAAGACATTTCTGGGTTTTTTTGTTTTTCGGTTTTTGTTTTGTTTTGTTTTTGGTGCAAGTGCCACTGAGCTAAATCCCCAGCCCAAGACATTTCTGTTATTTACCTAATCACCTAGGCAACCTTCCTTAATGGCAAGGTAATGCTGCACTTTATTCAAGGTCTAATATAAAATTTCCATGTCTCCAAAGCTCACAGGTTAAACTTATACTCACTGCCTAGCAACCACAATTCACATGTTAGTTAAGGCAAATTTATTGGTTTTCTACATGCATATGAAAGAAGACAAAGGCTGACTAAAATCCCTTTTATTACTCTTAGAATATACAAAGCACAAGTGTAAGTTGCTAGTCGTGTTAGTTACCTTTCTCTCAGTGCTGAGACAAAATACCTGACACCCAAAGTAGGAGGGGAAGAGGTTTATTTGGCTTACCGTTCGTAGAGGTTCCAGTTCATGATCGGCTGACTCCAAGGCAGGGATGACAGACAGGCCTGGCGGAGCAGAAACAACACAGCGCACGCACAAGGAAGCAAAGGTAACGAGAGGGTTTAACAACATCTTTCTGTCCCTTTTATCTTACTTGGACTATCGGGATTAGGGCGGTGCTAAAGTAGTCACTCACATGTAGTGGTTTTAGTAATCAAATGCCCTTAACCCCAGCATCACACATTTCAGATTCAACTTCCTCCCAAAAGAAAAGTCCCACTTTGTCTGCATGAGGCTTTGGGGAGACATCTAAACACAAACCATCACACTAGCTGACTGTTCATCTCCATGAAGGCAAACAGTTTCTGCAAAGCTGCCTCAGCCTGGCTTCCTGGAGGGAGGGTCAATCTAACTACCACCAAATGAGATGGAGAAAAGCCTAGGGGGAGTTTCTAATTTACCAGCAGAGAGAAAAGGTCCAAACCTGTAACTCATTTCTTAATGGAGGCTTAAAAGAGGGCTCTGACAGTCATCTCTGGTCACTCTGAAACAGAGGATACCAGAAGATCACTGAGAGAGTTGCCTCTCACCTCACTGAGGAGTGCAAGTAGAGACAATGGATAAATGGAGATTTTTCTGCTGGTTTCCCAGTCAGGCTGTTGGGACCTACCTTTCACGGAGGAATCTTTGGGTGTCTGCCAGAGAGCAGCCCTGGTCATGACCCCTCAGATGTCCTTGCAGCCTAGACTTGTTCCACAACCAGAGATTTATCTCCAAACCACTGTTTCTTTGAGTCCTATATGGGACAGAAAAAAGCTTAAGCTGTCTAAAAGCCCCACCACCACCGCATAACATAGCATTTTACAAGTTTACAGTAAAAGTTCAAAGTCCACGACTTATTAACAAAAGTATTTTCTTCCCCTACACACATAAATGATGAGAACCAGACCTAGGAAAGGATAGGGGGAGAGAGAGAGTCAGGATGTTGGGGATTCTCCCTTAAACTAAATGTTTTGGTCCCTTAAATGTTGTGCTTAGGAAATAGCTCCTTCCAATCTGAGGTTCAGTCTCTTGAGGAAGACTGTTCCCAGAACACCTAGCAAGGACATTGCTTTCATGTGTATTCTCCTGGATGAGCAAAATCCCAGGGTCTCATTTGACCCAGAGTTGGGATATGTGTTCCTCATCTAAGATGACTTTCCTGTTTCAGCATTAGCAAACGCTCATTTTCAATTGACTCAATTTAAAGGTTCTCAATTGTTGGATAGGAAGGAAAGGTTGGGACACTTTAGGGTTCCTTTTTCTCTTATCTTACAGGCCTTTAAACAGAAGAATATAAAATGGCAGGGAAAGATCAGAAAAGAGACCAGCAAAAGGAAGTCTTTTCTTCTCATGTTTGTGGTGAGTTGTTGAGACAACTTGCTCACGAGTCATCAGTCTCAGCCTGGACAGGGAAGAACGGGGAGTCCCAAGAGCTAAGACCGCCTCCTCACCAGTGGAAGATCAGGCCAGAAAGGAAACTGAGGCAGAACAGGCTTGACATTCCCTCTAGGGTGTAGAGGGGCAATCAGGGCCAGCCTGTCTCAGTGAAACCTATCATTAAGTCTTTTTTTTTGGAACCAGGGATCGAACTCGAGTCCTTATGCTTGTGAGGCAGGCAATGGGACCTATCATTAAGTCTTAAGAACAGTCACCAATCTATTGTCTTTTAACTGATGGGAAGGGTCTCGAGATTTATTAATAGGTATGCATATTTTCTAAATATAAATCAGATTTCATTAAAAAGACCCATTTTACAGACTTTTATATCACAGTCCACCAGGAGGGCACTCTAACACTACTTTTTCCCTAGAACTGTTGTCTGAGATAACAAACCACAACAGTCAAAGTCAAACAGGTCTAGTCAAGAGCACCAATAAATTCAGCAACTATGTCCAGATGCAATGTATGCAAACTAAGAATAAAATGCAAAATGTCATTTTCTTTGATGGCTCATGTCTTACCATGTTCTTAACTTAAATTTACCATCACTTAAAAAAAATTTACCATCACTTTAACAAAAGACAAGGCATAAACAAGGCATAAAAACTCAAGGCCTATTCAACTGAGAAAAATTCAAGACAAAAGACATAAAAATTCAAGGCAATTTTAATTACCTAAAATTATCTATGCGAGAGACAAGGCAAGATCTATGAGGGCCAGGGATTTAGCTCAGTGGTTCCAATGTCTGCTTCACAAACGCAAGGACCCAAGTTCGATACCCAGTACCAAAAAAAAAAAAAAATTAAATTTAAAAAAGTCAAAATTTCCAATGCAGGATCTATGAAACAAAAGAAAACTCTTACCTCCGTCCAATTATCTTCATAGAAGACCTCCAAATGATACAGAGAACATGGGCCAGGGATTTAGCTCAGTGGTTCTGGTGCCTGCCTAGCAAGCGCAAGGACCTGAGTTTGATCCCTGGTACAAAAAAAAAAAAAAAAATTGATTGGAATAGGTCATCAATACAAAATGATTACACCGAATGGTTCTGGTCTGCCTAGCAAGCGCAAGGACCTGAGTTTGATCCCTGGTAAAAAAAAAAAAAAAAAAATTGAGGATATAGAGAACATATAGGCTTATGACATAAGGATGATATATGGACTTCTAAATAATCCAAATAATATAAGGGAAATATCATAACTCCCAACCTGCGAGATGTCTGACATGCCAAGTTTGTGTTCTCCAAAATCAAAGAACTAATTTGAGAAACAATGCAGGTTAAGAGTAGGAAGTATTTAGTGAGAGCAAGACAGCTTCTAAGAGAAGGGTCCTGGAAAATGGGTTGTCCGTGGGCCCTGCTTCTCAAGGGAGTCTTATAGAGCAAAATCACAAGGCGAGGCAGGGTATAAGATGGGACAAAACCATAGCCAACTAGTAAGATTACAAGAGTAATCACTTAGGTAACATTGATCCACTGGAAGAACACAAGGTGTGTATAAGCTGGGACAAAACTCTGGCCAACCAATGAGATTACAAGTGTAGTCACTTGGGTAATATGGATTAAGTGGGGATCAAATGGGGAAGCAAGTCACGTAGCAAGTGTACATGGACGGAATAAGGATTTTGGGGGGAGGAATGGGCTGAGGTTTTGGTCTCCCACCAGAGATGATCGGTGTCTATTTAGAATATCAGTCAGTGCTGTTTATCTCTAGGGGAAGTATATGGGCATAGTCATTTTTCCTTGTCTTGAAGCCTGACCTTTAAGGAGTACACGTCCAGCTACAGTTTAATATGTTTTTATTTTTTGCACTGACTCTCTCAAGGGCCAGAGCCCTGTCTACCTATAACATTTTAACTAATTTAGGTGTCTATAATAGGGGCACACACATGCACTCTAGAGGGTGAGGCAGGACAATCTCAAATTCAAGCCCAGCCTAGACAACTGTCTGAAAATAAGACCCTGTCTGAAAAAAAAAAAATAAAAAAGAATGGGGGATGTAGTGCAGCATGACAGCCCAGGGTTCAATCCTCAGTACTACAAAGAGGAAAAGAAGAAAGAAAGAAAGAGAGAAAGAAAGAGAGAAAGAAAGAAAGAAAGAAAGAAAGAAAGAAAGAGAAAGAAAGAAAGAAAGGAAGAAAGGAAGAAAGGAAGAAAGGAAGAAAGGAAGAAAGGAAGAAAGGAAGAAAGGAAGAAAGAAAGAAACAAGAAAGAAAGAGAGAGAAAATAGAAAGCAAGAAAGACAAAGGAAAGCAAAAGGAAAAAGAAGAGAGGATAGGAATTCAGAAGAGCCCGGTAGAAAAGAGGGGTGTGTACATGCCTCATCTATACCCCCATCAGATTCAAAGCATTCCTCCCTCTGCCACGTCAGTTCTGTTTGGCCTCTCCATGCAGCGACTGGGGTTTTAGCCACCTTCCCGGAGTACTTGTCCACCTGTGAAAGGCCAGGGGAATGGAGCCTCCCCCATGATTCATTCTTGCGCAAAGCCCCACCCCAGTCAGGGAGGAGCTCTGTGGGGACCCCAGGATTCCCCTCCCTTTAAACTATGCCTCCCTTTCCTACATGTAAAAAAATTCTCCTTTGATGTTATTTGGCATTTCTGGTAACAATAGCAGCTCTAACACCGTTCTAAATATATTTGTTTGCTGTTAGAACATCTCCACTATCACAACTAAACAAAGCCAAGCCTCTGTAATGCCAAATGTATTTTTTCAGGCTGCCCTGCCCTCTGGCCTCCTCTATTCTGAAAAACCACAGGCCACGTCTTAGAGGCCCTTAACAAGTGTTTGTTGAGTGAAAAATAGAAAAGCTGTAGAGTGTGGATAAATATGGAATGCTGACACAGCCAACGGCCAGGCGGCCCTGCTGAGCCGCAGCTTCACAACCCGCTCCTGAGCGTGTGCGGGCAGCAGGAGGCTCTGATGGGAGGGAGAGGAAGAGGACTGCTTGGCCTGACAGCACATTTTCGCGTTGCTGCAGCAAAATCTCCCCAAAGCAGGACTGTCCAGAGAGGCCCGAGAGCTCTCTCTGGACCTGACCCACTTGCTCGTCACCCACCCCCTCTGCTCAGTTCCCTTCCATGGAGTCCAGGGACCCTGGCTCACATTGGTTTCAGAGCACCAGGAAGAATCAGGACTGTGGGTTGTGATGCTTTGGGGGGAGTTTTCAACTTTTACTGGAGTTATATTGCACCTAGAATGGTATCCATGGTGTTGGGGATGGAACCCAGGCCCTCACACATGCTAGGCAAGCACTCAACCACTGAGCTATACCTACAGCCCCTGGTATGTCTCTTTTAATGAAAATAAACAGGGCTGGGGATTTGACTCAGTGGTTTCACCGCCTGCCTCACAAGGCAGGGGCCTGAGTTCGATCCCCAGTACCAATTAAAAAAAAAAAAAGAAAATAAACATTAGTTTGACATTTGGATTTAAAAGATTAGCAATTAAATTGGGAGCAGTGGTGCATTCCTTTAATCTCAGTGACTCAGGAAGCTGAGGCAGGAGTATTGCAAATTCTAGCCCAGACTGGACACTCAAAAAAGGAAAAGCCAGCAATGTCACTTTGTGGCAGGATGTCCCTGGGTTCTAGGCCCCCAGTATGGGGGAGGGGCAGGGGAGGATTTAGCAGTAGAGTTTTTTTTTTTTTTTTTTTTTTTTTTTTTTC